GAGACCAAGGGAGCTTTGGAAATGAAGGCCACCCCGCCGCCAAGTTGGTTTGGATGGGGGGTGTGGTGGAAGGTGTAGACTGGAGGGGAGGCTTCCACTAGGGGGACGGGGTCATTGGGGAGAGCCAGGTTTTGGTAAGCCCAAGAATGTCAAGATGCTCGTCCAGGATGAGGTCGTGGATGGTGAGGGGTTTATTTGAGAGGGAACGCACATTTTGGAAGGAAATGCGGGTGGGTTTGCTGGAGGGAGGAGAGAGTGGTGCGGAAAGGATTTTGGGTGTACAGGAGAGATGGTTGTGGAGAGTGGTGTGAGTGGAGAGTTGGGGAGGGACTGGTTGATGAGGGTGGGGGAAGTTGGGTTTGCCTTAAGGAAGCGGTTTGAGCGGAGGGAGGGAGTGATGAGACACGTGGGGTTGCTGCTCTGGGACAGCCAGTGCCGGGAGCCACGATGGGCCCGGAGGAGGATGCCGAGGCTGGAGCAGAGGGAAGTGGTGATGGGGTCGAGGAGAGAGAGAAGGCGGGGAAGGCGGTGGGAGAGAAGGACAGAGGGGGAGTAGCGGATAAAGGGGGATGGGAGGAAAGACATAGAGGGGGGAGGGAGGAGATACATTTGGAGTGGGGGGGGGGGTGCGGGGCTGTAGCCAAAACGCGCACCAAGAGACTGGGAGCGAGCGATCAGCGGGACGGCATCAGCCCTCAGGCTCAGCTTCCCAGGTCATGGCTGGGATGGCAGTGCCAGGGGCCATGACATTGTTGTTGTTGTTGCTGGTTTTTTAAATTTTTTAATTTTTTAACTATGAAGTCACGCCAACGTCATTTTTATTACTATAATTTGGAACTTTGGTCCTTGTGTCACACTGGTTGGTGTAAATTTTCTCAGTTTGGGCAGAGCGGACAGATCTTTAATCTGCCCCTCCAATGCTGTGTTTACGCTGTTTAAAAGTAAAGGAATAATGTGATGCTGAGCCTGATGAGACTTGCCTGATGCACATTGCATTAGTCCTTTTTTTTAAAAAAAACTTCCCCAAATCCGGTTTTGAGATTTAATATTAAATAGCTAGTTGAATGCTTGATTCCTCATTCATGTTTTGAGAGTTGGCATGTTAATTGGACCACTGTCAACTTTTATGGGATCATTGACTAGCAGAGTCCACTTCAATTGACATCCACTGAATTTATATCACAATGGGGCAATTCAAGCTGATTCTAACTCCCATCTATTCAAGGTTGCGGGGTTTCAGCAAGATTTGTGTCTAACGTGTCGGTGTGATTTACTGTGACAAAGTATAAAAGAGCATAGCATGCCTTACACATTGATCTAGGAGTATTTCAAAGCTGACATGAAATATCCAGAATGAGGAAGGCATTCCATATGCTAGGGCTAATAATGCTCTACTATACTATATAAATTTTAATTCCATTCTTTAAGCTCTCTGAGACGCTACCTGCTTGAAGGACTCTATATAAATGCAACTTGTTGTTGAAGACCACTATGATAATTACATTTAACCGATCAAGGCTGATATGGACAAGAGCAGGGAATATTGAGATTAAACACGACCATCAATCATTGATATGCTCCTATTGTACTGCACGTTTGTAATCTTTTACATTGTGCACACAGCAGAAGTGTGTTTAGATCACTGTGGATGGCATAGAGCTTGGCAGTATAGCATTGGTATTGAGACTACCTTGAACAAGTGGCCTCGCACTCTGGCAATGTGTGTGCCTGAGCCATTTCAGAGCTGACAACAGAGCTGAAAAAAGCATTTAAGCAATTGTTTGGGAAGTTGATCTGCAATCAAGGTTTATTGGTAGAAGAAAGCTGTGAATCCTGTCAGCTCTTAAATACACTAGAACTATACTCTTAATAAATTGCTTGAACCTATTTAAGTACATCTGTGCAGAACTTTTGCTTTCCTCAAATGGTTTGAGTAGTTTGTGTATCAGTTTTGCAAAATGTTTCTGGTACTGTATTGTTTGGTCTGTATAAACTGAAACATAAGTTAATCAAGTCTTGTACCTTTGTAAAGCATATAATTATGTGCATTATAATTCTACATCTTGAAGGCATTTGCAATGAAGATTGATATTAAGTTTTTGGATAATTAAAGTAAAATTGGGCCAGTAATGCGATTGCTGTCCAAAATTAGATTATACAAGGTTGCTGATTAAATTGAAAATTGTCCAATATTAAACTAAGTATGTTGCAGCAATATATAGTGAATTCCATTTCATGTATGTGTACTAAAATCCTTAATTCTATTCAGTTATGCCATGAAATTCTGCTTTGTTGAACTGGGTGTGTTTTAATAGGGTGTTACTTAATTTGGCTTCCTTTTCATTCTCAATTTAGATCTAAATGTTTCGATCATGAATTTTAACAATATGTGCGGGTCAGATTTTCTTGAAACGAAAGTACTTCTGCAGGAGCATTCTGTACCAATTAGTGAATTGTGATGCAACTATCACTGAAGTATCTAAATAATAGATGCAGACTTAATATCAAACCAACCTTTTTTAGTTATTTGAGTACATTGTCAATAAGTTCCGGTGTCTTTATTTGTAAGATCCCTATTATGTGATATTTAATGCCTTATTTTGAAAACATTGAGGTCTACAATAAAACTCGCAAATGTCTTATCTTTATAAATCATAACCAGATAAGTCGTACAAGCTTATTCCATTCAGTCCCATTCAGTTTCCTATCAAAACGTTTTAGATTTCTTTGCACTAGTTGAATTAATCACCTCCTAATGAGTTTTATTAGCGAGTTTTATCGTTGCAAAGGTTTAAATATTGATATAGCTGATGGTCACTTTATTTCTGGAATTATAATGCATTTGTCTAAAAGAAGCATTCGTTATTGTTAAAATCTATATAATGGGTCTAATTTGTAGTTTTTTTAATGAAATTTTTGTAACACTGCTCCCGAATCCTCCATTACTGATGCACTTACCAGCTACATTAAATTGCGAAGTGACGTTCTGAACTGTCAACGCATGCGCGCCTCTGGCCGGTTGCATTGAATCACAGGAAATCACCGGCTGCAATCTTGATTGTTGCTGCATGCGCAGAAGAACCTCATCTTCCACAATTCAATGCCATTCCAGCACTTGCCAGTAATAAATAACAACATAAGAAATGTTAGTTGAAAAAAGACCGAGGTCCATCTAGTTTGCCTTCCACCTTCCTGGCGGCTGCATGTACATATGTCTCAAACTACCTGTGTACTATATCCCATTATGTTATTTCCTAAAGGGAAACTATCTAATCTGTGTTTGAAAGAATCAACATTTCCTGCTTCAACCATCTCCCTAAGGAGCCTGTTCCACATACCACATGCGGTGATGGGTCAAGATCTTTGAATTGCGGAAAACGAGGTCTTGATCTGTCATCTCATTCTCACTCCCCTGCTGCAGTGATGAACTACCGCATGTGGTTTACCAGCTGCGCAGTATAGATTATTGATTTAATTGGATTTTATAAACTTGTACAGCTTGTCTTATTTTTGATTGTAATTTCAAAAAAATTTGAGCCAAATATAGAAAGTAGGACAACTACACTTGAGCAATTACTTTTGCATTGATACAAATTCTACAGATGATTCTTTGTAGGAAAACCAATAGACAATTTTTAAATCCAGCTTGATAGCAATGGGCTTGAAGCTAAAATTAATTCTAATTTATTTTTTTTAAATAGTGCCAAAGATTCTCTAATTTTCAAAAGAATATGATTTAAATGTTGCTGTTAATTGGCTCCAATACATGTTTAAATGATTCTCCCACTCCTGGGATGAGGACGATCTCTTGGGCTGTTCGATGGTGCACCAGTGTATGTGGCTGGATTCTACTTGTGGAAGAGATTCCGTGCTCTGGCTTCATTAACATTGTGTTGTGCACGCACATATGAAAGACAGCGTACATGAGCAGTGATGTTAAAGAATTCGAAAGACTGATATGCCCGATTTTTTAGCTTAAGCTGACTGGTATAAGTAGTATGATTATTTAAGGTGCTTCATTTGCCAAAGCTTTTGCAGAACATTTTGCTGCAGACCTTGGAACAATTTTGCCTTTGACTGCTAAAAGCCAAAGATATCTGATTTTTCTCAAACAGGTTGATGAAAATACTCCTTATAATGGTGTATATACTAAAAACCTAACGGCATCACAATTTTGTTTTTTTAATTCTTCGATCAAGGAATGAGACTCTCTATTTTAGAAACATGATGATAATTATTGCATTTGATATAGTGCCTTATCATGTCTTCTAGACGTCTCAAAGACCTTTACTGAATATACTGTAAAGTGAATTGACAGTGTATTTTGTGGGCAAAACGCAGCAGCCAATTGTACACAGCAGTGTCCTACTTACTGGTGGTAAATCAGGGCTTGAGGATTAAAGAAATTTCTCTAAGGTTCACCAAGCTGAGAATCGACCCCAGGTCCTCTCACTTGCGAGGCGAGCGCGCTAACCACTAAGCTATGGGATTCTGCCCTCTCTAAATTTCACCCTCTCTAAATTTCCAAGCAACAACACCGCCAAAATTACATTTGGATAGCGCCTTTCATGGTAGTACCCAAAACTGGGCAAAAATGCTGTGAGCCATCAACTGTCAACTCCTGTTTAGCTGAGACAGCTGTCTTTTACATGTTGCATTTGCAGGATAGTTTTTTTTAATTAAGTTAATTTGCAAAGTGGCATTTGAAAGGATGTAATCCAAGATCCAAAGCTTGAATTCAGATGCTAAAAAATGGAACAGGCTAATGATCTGTTTGTAGTTTGGAGAAAGCATTTTTGGAAGCCTAACAAAGCGAATAGTGGTCAAACCATTCAGCATTCCATTCAGCACACTCTTCAGCGAAGTGTGCGTGAGCACATTCCCTTTTATATATCATAATAAGGCAGTTATATCGTACGTCCCCATCAAAGCTAATGAATTTTTAAGGTGTGCTTTTAACCCCTTTATTTCTGCTTATTGTAAATTTTTTTTCTTTTAAGGTTGATTACACTCAAAGTCCTTAACAGCATTGTGTTGCTGGGCAAATCTTACCAGTATGTGAAAAAGGCCAAGATGGAGGAGAAGCTGTTCCAAACCCCACCAACCAGCACGCCTGGGAAACCTCCCAAAAAATCTGCCAGCAAAGTTAAATCCCCTCAAGGTAATGATTTTCCATATATTTCTATTTTTAGGGTTTCAAACTAAAATGAGGCATTTTTGATAGAAAATTAACTTGTAAGTGCTTCATTTGGTTGAGCTAAAGTTAAATATTCTATATTGTAGGTTTATAAAATCCATGCATCTGCTATATCGTTCTATGCTTAAAGTAATCCAGCAAAAAAAACTCATGGATATAATATTTTGAATGCAAATTCAGCAGCTTGAAAGAATCCCAATTATAGTAGCTCAGTGATTTTCCACAAAAGCAGTTGTCAATTATTACTTGGTAATTGTCCAATTGAGATCCTGTGGAGAACAATAGCTGGGCTGGTGCAGGTGTTTGTGATAAGGTGGTATTAGCAATTTATATTTTTCACACTGTTGTATTATATATTGTATAAACCTTCAACATCCTCTTCATGGTAGTCATAGTGGTAATTGCTAACTTTGAAAACAATATGCACTTGCGTAATAATAATAATAATCCTTGCATTTGATATAGCGCTTTTCACGTCTTCTCGACGTCTCAAAGCGCTTCACAGAATAGACTGTAAAGTATATTTGTGGGTGAAACGCGACAGCCAATTGCACACAGCAGTGTCCCATAAACAATCGTGGATTGAAAATTACCAGTTTATTATTGTTTTGTTTTGGAGGGATTATCATTAGACGTGTGGAGTAGGGAAACTTGCCCAAGGTTTCGCCCTGCCTGGAATTGAACCCAGGTGTCTCGCTTGTGAGGCGAGTGCTGTAACCACTGGGCTACAATGCGTATTGCTTTTCACAGAGGGAACCCTCTTGAAGCATTTCACGGAGAGTGAATGAGACCCTGAGTGGGTAGGGGGAAAGGAGGAGGTGCTTGAAGGTATATCAAAATGATAATCCACAGAAGGGACATGAGACAGGAAAGATGCCAGAGTCACAAGAGTGAAGAGAGTTGGCAGGGAATTAGGGTCGCAGGAGATCACAAGCTGACATAAGACAAGAATATGGAGGATTTAAAGGTGTGTGATCCTCTGCTGTGAGTGAGTTGGCAAACTGTCCCAGGTGAAGGACAGGGTGGGAGGAGGAGGGAAGGAGCTTGAAACCCAAACTAGTCATAGTACACACAATGACAACCTCCAGCAGGGTGAACGATCAGTAGTGGTTGAATTTTCTTGCCAATTTTCCCCTCTCTTAATATAAACTGCAGCACTTCGATGTGATCAACTAACTACATAGTCTGTCATTTGAACCTGCAAACGTGTGGTTAATATGTGCTTGTCCTGCAACAGCCAGTGCATTTACCAAGGAAATCATCCTTCTGTTTTTCACATATATGTCTGATTCTCTTTTAAATATTATAAAGCCACTTACAATAAAACAGTCCAGTAAAGATCTCGACTTAATCTCCTCTCTCCCCCCCTCCCCCCCATTGCCAGTTCACTGGACTAATAAACCAAAACTTGGCTATTGAGGCATAGTATTCTGCAGTTAGGTAAGTGGGGTCAATCCTTCCAGGGAGGGATTGCACATTCCAGATGTGAGGAAATTTTCATGTGTAGGTTGTGCAGGTGACATACAAGTGTGTCACTCTGTTTGCTTTGGATACTTTTAAGCAGTATCATGAACCTGGCTGACCAAATTTGGTGGCATTCTGGTATTGTTCGCAGATTTCTGCAGTGCCATCCATAATGAGATTTCTGTCTGGGTGAAAGCTCCAAATCGTGGATTTGTAATTTAGGAGAAGTATGTTTCCTGACCATCATTCACAGTCGTTGCTGAAGGAGTCATTTATCGGCCCTTTTTTAAAAAAAAGTAAATCACCTGAGACTGGAATTTAATGTCCAAACCTTCTGTGAGTCCTGTATTAAACCTTGAACCACTGTCTGCTAACAGTGCACTGTTTTAAAACATAAGAACGTCTGCAGTCAATTTATATTTTATCAGTAAAAATCTTCAGAAATTCAGTGTTAAATATATGTTGTGGGTTTTAAAATATTTTGGCAAGTGGACTTGTGCTTTGTATTAAAACTTCACTGCATAAATGTTTTTATACCAATAACAAGTAAGTAACCATTCACCGAAATTTAAATCAGTGAGTCGCTTTCATTCAGAGTTTCTTTCCATTGTATTTCCTCAATGCTCCAGCACTGATGTTGCAAATTAGGTTGATGACCAAAGCTGTGGAGTTTTACACCATTATTCAGACCCTCACCATGCAGGGTTCTGATCGCAGAGTTCATTTACATATCTTTTCATCGTCAGTGAGAACAAAACTCAGCTAAAGCTGATGAGAATTGGATAGTGCAGCTTTATTGTTTCCAACTAGAGTTTTCGTCAAAACCTTGGAAACGTGATAATTCAAGGCTTGTATTACTTATGGTGTCAGCATTTCAGAGTAACTTTGATAATGGGCAAACATTTTGATTGGATAGCTTGGGCTTTTTAGTTACTATCAAAGCTGTTTCCTTGCAACAGTAGAAACCCTATTAGCATAATTCATAGACATTTTCGCAGCACACTATGGGAAAGATTCTCATTTCCAAATTGGTGGTAAATGTAGAGCTCCAAACTAAAAATGTCCTTGCCAGCAGTTCATTGTCTATCTTTCTAAGTTTCTGAGTTGAAAGGTAGTTAAACCTAAACTGTTGAAGTAAACACGAGCTTGTGAGATGTTTTTACCGAGTTTGGTAGCTTTGAATTTAAAAGTTGTGTACTGAAATTGTGTTGAGGCATTTTAAAGCTTTTTTTAAACCAAAGTTTTATGCATAGTGACTTCTAAAATATCATGGGATTGTTTTTATTCTAAAACTAGTGTTTGTGCATATGTATAATTGGCATGGTTTGATTTCAAGGAACTGGTGAGTGGATTTGAAGTACAGCCGCAACAAGCAGCGATAAAGGCTTTATGGTTAAATAAATAGTTACTGTCCGTGATCTGGGATAGATCTTAAAGATTAATTCATGCTGTGCTGTAGTTGATTCCTAAATAGCCACATGCTAGTTTCCTCATTATATTTGTGATGTGTGTTGGTCCTGTTTTCAGATTTCCTGCACAGCAGGGACAGCTTTGCTAACCTAATATGTTGCATATGGCAGTGTATCCCAGAATATGGTCTGGAACTGCATACACACAGGACGCTAAGACTTAACTATATTGGCTTGAAACCATTATATTTGAATGCTAACTTAGTCCCAAGTTAGTTAACTGTAGAGTTGCTCCATTCCATCCTTTGAGGAAAAAGGTGATGTAGCTTTAGCTCATCACAAGCAAATTATTGGCTGCTTGAAGCCAAAAATATTCTCCAGGTGCTTTAAGTTTATTGCTCTTGTCATGGGAATTTTTGAATACAGTAATTTTATGTATTGATGGCTAGAAATGCATGAAAGAGCAGTCTGCTTGACTCTCACCCTGGAAAGCCTGCTGCTTGAGCTCACTACCTTTTTATAGTTGCAATCTGGCTCTTGTGTAAAGAATTGCCATAAATCCATAACTCATCACTGCTCTAAAGCCGCCAGTGGTTTTAGTTTTAATACCCCACTTTGGTTTGAACCTCACTTCTGCGTAGCAATGCAGTTTTCCTATCTCTTTTGCAGTGTGCTGCCCACAAACTCCAGTTCCTGTCATGGGAGCTACTGCCCAGTACAATTCTCAGTGAATGCTATTGCATTAGAAATGTTCCTGATGCTTTGATTTTTAATATGGTGCAGGATATATTTTCCTGTGAATAAATACTGATCCATTTGTTTTTCTTTGCATCTTTTTGGTTAGGAATAAATAATTGGATCTGTGATATGTCTTATAATATATATATATATAAATTCTTACCAGTGGAGGTATGTTTTGTATAAGATGCCTCCTTTTTCACTTCTGCAGTCTAATATTGTTATTACTATTGTTGTTATCTCCTAAATAAGTAAGTAGGCAGGCAGGTAATGTACTGGCTCCAAGGTGACATGTTTGGCAAGGGAATGTCTGAATCGAGCCCAGCCCTCTGTGGTGATCTCGGTAGTCTGGTTCCTGAGCCAGGTGGATCTGCTGTACTCTAAGGCACTGCTGACGACAACCCAGCCAGCTTCACTCATTGGCAGGACTTGGAAGAGCAGAACCAGGCACTGGGGGCTGAGAATCCTCCCACTCAACTCCTGAGTAAATCATCTGACAGTGGGTGGACCAAATGTCTCAGTATTAGGATTAGTGCACAATACATATCACACAGAAGAGGGATTTGGAGAGAGAAAATTAATGGATAGGTCATTCAAATAAGTGCCTGAACATGTTCAGTAAAATAAACTCTGTCAAGTAATGAAAGAAATGAACAGGCTTTTGGGGTAAAAACTAAAAAATAGAGCACATCTCCCAGGAAATGTAGTTGAGTTTATACAGGATACTCACAAGATCACCCTGATTCATTTGGATGAAAAAGGCTCTTCAGTCCATCTGATCTCATCCCTCCAGAACATCCACCTTGCTGTGCTCCAGCATCAAGCTGCTTTTTAACTAATCCAACCCCACCTGGAGCACTATGTACAATTGCGATCACTGTAGAATACTTGGCATTGCAGGGAGGAAAGTGAAAGGGAACTAGGTTGATAACTAGGATTAGGCATCTAAATTATGAGAAAATGCCACAGTGTCTTTAAGTGTTAAAGACAGAGGAGGCTTTCGAGAGATAAGTGAAGAATACCAGTGTATCTCTGCTATTAGTTGTGGTCTTTTATTTAGGCTGCAGGCAAGCCAGAAAATGAATGAGTCGTGGCAGGTAAAGATGTGTTTCACCCTACAGCTCCATGGGACGGAAATACTTTATACTCAAAGTACTAGTTCCCTAGTAATGTTCTTAATTAGTAACTAGAATTATGTTCATCAATCAAGCTAATGTAGGCTTATGCCTACATATTTGAGTATATAATAAAGCTTATGCCACTTATTTGAGTAAACCAAAAAATCGTATATAATAAATTTATAATATATTTATATAATAAATCCTATATAATAAATAATTTGAGTATATAATAAAGCTTATGCCACTTATTTGAGTAAACCAGAAAATCCTAGAGAATAAAAAGTACTGCACATAGGAGTTCAAATCACACAGACGCTGATTGAGGTATTAAATAGAACAAATTGACTGGAGCTCTAAGGATTTGAGCTATTTTACATCAAATACAACTTTAAAATGTTTTAAAATTTTACTGTAATTGAAGAATGTTGGAACAGAATCAATTACAATTGCAAAAAAAATTGGACCATTAGTTTATTCTTGGTCTTCAATATTTGTAATCTAGTATTTTATGCAGAACCTGAAATTGAGATAGTAGGGTTTTTTAAATTTATGACCCTGCAGTGAAGTATGAACTGACACAACTCTCAATTTGCTTGAATTAGTAATATTTTTAATAAAGATTAGCAAGTTTATACATATCCAGGTTATACATTTCATATAATCAAATTAATTATTATATTTATTATTATCAATGCTTACGACAGGTTAGTACAGTTCACTGCAATGAGTTGATCAGACCAATACAGTGGCTTTGATGGACGAATCGATTTGTTAACTTGGTGCATCAATTATTGTTGATTGTAATATATCCCTCTTTCTTTGAGATTGGTTGTGGTTAGCTACTCTGTCCCCAAAACTCAGCATTTCCAATTTAACCCCCAAATCTCTGGTTCTTTATACCTTTTCGGTCACATACTCCCGTCGGTTCAACAGGTCGTTAGAAACACCAGCTGCAAACCAAGGACAAACTTTATCTTCCATGGTGAAGAAAACCTTTGTTCTTTATTCTTCAATTTATACTTGGCCTTTATCCAGTTGTGTAATATAGTCAGCATTTATGAAGTAAACAATTCTATGAGTCTTTGTGATTTTCTTTGGTCAACTTAAGACAACCCAGAATTCTGGGATTGCTTACAAGCATGTCTTTCTGGCAAATACTTTTATGTTGAGGGATTTATAATCATCCAGTTATTTTAGTTATCAAATGGGTTTGATACAAATATTATGTTTTGGGTCAATTTTCTCTAAGGGAAGGTGTATAAGGCGGTCAGAAAATGTATTTATTCTCGTGTATGAATTAGTATGTGATATTAATTGGAGGTTTTTGATGTTTTAGTGTGTACTATCAAAACCTATAATAGCCGAATTTCTCTTCACAGATATTTCAGTAGAAGACCCTCAGTCAGACTCAATCACCAGCCAACCTGTATCCCAGTCAGAGCGCGCCTCACCTCTGCTCCCACAAAGCAGTTCTGACCAGTTTCTCACTACCCCCGACGCAGAGGATAAAGGAGTGCCCCAGGAGAATTCTGATGGGAAGCATCATTCTTCGAAGGAAGATCTGCTAGAAATAGACAGGTTCACAATTTGTGGAAACCGAATTGATTGATTCTCGAACACTCAAAGCCCTAAATGAGAGTTGCTTCAGCTGCAAGACTGTGCATGGCAAATCGAACAATGCCAAGCTCAACAATAAGGGTGAAAGCTGCCAAAGGAGGCACCAATCAGGAATATTTATTGAAACCTTTATAATTTATTAATAACTAAAAACCAAAATATATTTTACCTGCCTTTCCATCATTAGCTGAAAATATTCAATTTGGATATGCTCTTTCGGTTTATGTATCCATTTCTGTGGCAGTGGAAGAAATATGATTGGTTTCTGTGGATATTTGGCAGATAAATGCTTTCAAGACTGCTTCCTCTGCAGCTGTGTGAATTCTTTGTGCAATATTTCTTGACACTTGTCATGCAATTATGCCATTGAGTGATGCAATCATATAGTCAGACAGCTGGCTTTTTTAAACGTTTTCAATAAAACTTTCACTGTTACTTTAAGGCCTCTCATTGCATAAAGATGTGCCGGCAGCAGTGACATTAAAAAGTAAATTATTTTCCAATCTTACACTGTTCTTGGGAAAGTACGTTTTAGTGAACGAGCTTCAATTACAATATGTAGGTACGGGAGATTGTTTCTGAAAATATCAATTAAAATGGATCCTCTTAAAGGAGCTAGCATCATAGTGCATCTATCATCTGTAAGAATGGTGCTACAATAAAATGGAATATTTGGAGAACATTTTTATATTGCAGAACTGTGTGAGTAAAGCAATGTGTAAGCCATTCAAGAGCAACATAGTTTTGAAGGAAGTTATGATTCAAATTCTGAATTGAATGAGATAATAAGAACCAATCTTCTTTCGCGGTAAGGTAAAGTACATAGGAAAGAATGTGAATAAATGCACAGATAACTGATCTCATTTGTGTACAGAATAGCTTCCTTTTAAGAGACGTCACATCAACTTGTTGCAATTTATGTTTTTTATACAATGGTCATTTATATTATACTAAAGGCAATTTTTTTTATTTGACTTTCATTAAGAACACCAGCCATCTTCATATAACTGCTCAAAGCAAAGCTTATTTTACAACAAATGCAATACTTCATACTTACTGTCTGAATTAAGTTGTCCAACTCTGAAGCAGCAACACCAGGTCAATCTGAATAAAGTTGCCAATGTTTAGTGAACTAGAAGTTCATATTAAAATTGAATGGATTAATTTTTTTAAAAGATCAAATCGGCAGAATTTCTCCTTCCGTTCCACTTCTATGTTGCAAAGAGGCTTGTGACTAAAATTTACAACCGTACCAAATGTCACATGTTCTGTACCTTTTTTTNATAAATTAATGCATTCTTGTACAAAGGAATACTGAATAAATTACGTTTTTAATAAATCTGGTTTCTTTCTTTATACTACAGAAATTGTGGCCAACTACAAAAGAAAAAATAATCCTTGTCAGACTGTATTATGCTTTCTGCTCATTTACAGCTGTTGGATGGAGCATACTTTTAAGTTTTATGCAGGATGCAGGCAAAACTGAATTTGGCTGTAACCTGTTTTAATTGTTTTTTGCCCTGGCAACACAACTTGTGATACTGGGTTCATACCGCCAGAAATAATAATCCTTGAATTTGATATAGCGCCTTATCACATCTTCAGATGTCTTAAAGCGCTTCACAGAATATACTGTAAAGTGAATTGACTATATATTTTATATTTTGTGGGCGAAACCCGGCAACAGTGTCCCACAAACGGTATTGGATTGAGTGACCAATTTCTTTTTAGTTACTTTTACTTTTGAAGGGATTATTAACCGCAGAAAAGTGATCCGCCAAACTATTAATAACCGGGTTCCTATTTACTGCTCGGTAAACAGGTGTGTTGGAGTAAGTAAATTTGCCTAACATTTCGCCCTGTCCGAGAATCGAACCCAGGTCCTCTCACTTGTGAAGCAAGTACAGTAGTATATGGAATTTTTAAAATGATTCCACTACCACCAAAATCTAGTTCTACTCTAACTAATCTGTCAAACTCCACACTGGACTTTGGCATTTTATTCTTGAATACTTTGATTCATTTAGTATCACATTGGACATCCCAAAGTCATTGACAAAGTCTGACACAGTTTTTATAACTGCAGTTATATCATGGCGGTGTTCAGCTCAAATCATTTTTGTGGCAGTGCATCTTCTAGACAACTCTGTTTTACACCTCTATTCTCCCTAAGGTGTACTCCTCTTGTAATGCCACTCTCACATTTCTGGACAAAATAACAAACAAGAAGACTTGTCCAGTGATTGCTTTCAGTCTCTCTCATTGCAATCTATTGATTTTGTTATCAATGCTACTAAAATCATGCTTACTGACTCTGTCCAGGTTGATTAGGATTGTATGACGACAAGATGCCATTTTATAAATTTCTGTTCTGTGACTTGCACCCGCTTCACAAATGAACATAATCAAATGCCTTAAAATATACTATATATTCTTCCAGTATCCTCGTGTAGAAATTGATTTGCCACTTAGTCTCCATAGCTAAACACAATTCTAAAGTATAGAACTGCCTCCCTCGGATTAATATTGGAACGGGGGAGAAAATGGCTATTCGATTTTAAAACTAACAAAGCTGATCATCTAACCATTCTTGATTTCATTTTCTTTAAACTTTTTTAAACTTTCAGCAAGTAAGTTATTTCAAAAACTTAAAAAATACGTTTGGCAGCAAAGAAGTATATTTCAACCCATTTGTTCTGTTTGTCAAGGTGCAAGTAACATAAAACGTGTTTTAGTACTTGGGTACGCAAATTACATAGTCAAGAAATATAATAGCAATGCTTTGATGCTGTGTGTATATATATGTATGTTTATCTTCATTGCAAAAGGTGCCATTAACCTAGATCTCTTTGAAAAATGCCGAGCCCTACTTTTTCCCCTCCCCTTTGGTTTTCCAGTTTTTAAATCAAAATAGTATTAAAATTAATGACTCAGCATTCATTTCATCAAGGTTTGATGAAACTTTAAAGGCTATTTTATTTGCACATGTTTAATTATGCTGGTATTCACCTGTTTAATTAAAGGAGAATTGTGTCTGGTGTAAGTTTACTTCCAGATTTTGAAGACGTTGAGTGATTGTTGGATTTATCTTCCAGGCTAGAAATGTTTTTTAGAAATAGTGTTTTGTTTCTTTCATTGTGTATAACATGAGTCATAAACTAGCGTACCACTGTTTTGGTAACCTCGATACATACACATTCTCATATTTCCTTATAAAAGATGCTATTTTCTAATAGTAGGATCGCATGACTGTAAGCTGAAATGTTAAATGGAGCCCTTTTATCAACGCTGTAAAATGCAACTTCATCAGACTCTTGCCAAGGAAGAGATTAAAAATGAAAACTCAACAACATCCACAAGTCCCAGGTACGCCATTATGATGAGAAAGCAATGTCCTATTAAAACCAGAACATAGCTACTTAGGGGATAAGACTCTTAGGGGATAGGTTTATAATACAAAAATCCCTCAAGTTTGTGGAAGCATATAACCCACTTATTCATGTTTTATGTATATAAAATTGAGAAAGCATTTGTTTGCAAAGCGAAACTAGGTTTTTTGGAAATCTCCCAGAAGAGTATAAAATATATGTACTTTGATAAATTGCACCTCATGTAGATGAAATGTTCAATTACAATAAAAGCACCTTTCAGTGGGCATAAACCTCACAATTTATTTAACAGGGCATTAGTTTAATAACAAAACAATTTTTGTGACCCATTTCTTTTCTATATTAAGCACTTGCTATCATGATGATAATCCTTGCATTTAATATAGCACCTTATCACGTTCAAACATTGCAAACTCATCACAGTTTTATGTAATACTAACTGTATGGGCGAGTGCAGCAGCCTATTAGTACACAGCAATCTCTCACAAATAGCCATGAAGTAAATGACCATTTTTTCATCCCAAACTATAATCTCGACCTATTACCTTGGAGTCCCATAGCATAGTGGTTAGAGCGCTCGCCTCGCAAACGAGAGGACCTGGGTTCGATTCCCCAGTGGATCAACGACTTAGGCAAGTTCCTTTACTCCACACACTTCTGTTTACCGAGAATTAAGTAGGAATCCACTTGTAAGTCAATTAGCAGATCGTTTTCTGGGGTGGGATAGTAATCCCTTCAAAAAATCAATTAATAATAATTTGGACACTCAATCCACAACTGTTTGTAGGACACCTCTTTATGCAATTGGCTGCCACATTTTGCCCACAAAATCCACTTTACAGTAATATTCTGTGAAGTGCTTTGAGACATCTGAACAACGTGATAAGGTGCTATATGAATTGCAAGGATTAATATTATTAAACTTTTTAGACAGATGTGAGAGTGCTACCAATGAGGTCATTCTCTTCAACCGTGCCTTCACCTCTCCTCTCTACCCCCTCCTCGCTCCCTCCCTTCCCTCCCCTCACCCTGACCATTTCCCCACTGCTCGGGTCCCAACCCAACTGTCCAGCGCCTTGGGACGTTCTCCCGATGTGAAAGGCGCTCTATTAATGCAATCTTCTTCTTCTTGTTCTATAAATGACAGTGGGGTCTCAATAATAATGAGGAAAGTGACTGAGGATTTTTGACCAGATTAAGCTATTTGGCCTCCCTAGTGAGTTTGTTGAAACAAACTGACTATGTTAATTTGGTGACCATAAGGTGACTTTCCACAATACCTCTTATAAAATTCAAATATTAATAAAACTTAAAAGAAGCCAGTGCCAGCAAAATGAACAATACATAACAGAAAAACAGCATAGTTTTACTTATCACATGGTTTGTAATTGGTATAATAGGAAGAGGCTAGAGAGAAAAAGAAAACAGCAACGACAACAGACAAAGAGGATTTCTTTTGTGAATTTTTCAGGGGGTAAGCACAATTTGATTAGCTATTTTTTTATGATTTCCAGTGAAAAATGCTAAAAGAATAAATTGTAGTTAGGATCAATTCACTTGGGTCCTGTAAATGAAAACATGTTGGGTAGATTTTTATTGGCAATTCCTGACTTCACGTTCCAGGTCTTGACAATGATTAGGGGTGTAGTGGTGCCTTCCTGGAGCACTTTATCTCTACTTTGAGGTTACGTTGTCACCTCAGGAAGACGGTAAATACCTCTCAGCCAGTAAGATCTGTACTTCAGGAGTTCTCAGCGATAAATGTGGCATTCTCAGACCAATCAATTAAGCATTCATTCATGGTTATCATCATACAATAGTCAAGTTAGCAAGGCTTGAATATTACACTTTAGGTTTAAACACACTTTATCAATAAGCAAACTCTAGAAGGATCCTGTTATACTCATACCTTTCTGCAAGATTCCCTTATTCACTTTTACAACAAGTCAAGGTTGTTTGCTTTCCATTCACATTTTCAAGATGGAGGTAAATATATATATATATATATATATATATATTTGTTAGGTCAGGGTATTAAGGGATATGGGGCAAGGGCAGGTAACTGGACTTCAGGTACAGGTCAGCCATGATCTTATAGAATGTGGAACAGGCTCAAGGGGCTGAATGAACTACTCCTGTTTCTATACTTCAGGTAGCAAGTTCATGCAAGTCTTCCCTTAAGGCAGTCTCTTGATCAGCAGAGTTTCAACACTCAGCATGCAGCTCGGATAGCGGGACTTGAAGGAGGCTAAGGAGGGGCCGAGGTGGAGTGACTGGGGGATGGAATTCCAGAGGTTTGGGGCAGAGTGGTTTGGGGCTGAAGGCTCTCCCGCTAATGGTGGGGCGGGTGGGTCGGGGGACGTGGAGCAGGCTGGAGCCGGCTGAGCAGAGGGAACGGGTGGGTTGGTAGGGGGTTAGGAGGTCGCAGAGGTAGAGTGGGGCGAGACCGTGGAGGGCTTTGTAGGTGAGGACCAGGATCTTGAACTGGATCCTCTGAAGGATAGGGAGCCAATGCAGTCGGGCAAGAATGGGGGAGATGGGGTCACGGAGTTTGGTGCGGGAGAGGACACGGGCTGCAGAGTTCTGGATTATCTGCAGCCTGTGAAGGGAGGAGTTGGGAAGGCTGACAAGCAGGACGTTTGCATAGTCGAGCCTGGAGGTGATGAAGGCGTGAACAAGAGTTTCAGCGGCCTGAGGGGTGAGGTAGTGGCGGAGTCGGGCGATATTACGGAGGTGAGGGAAGGCTAAGCGGGTCATGGCTTGAATGTGGGGGAGAAAAGACAGTTGAGGGCCGAAAAAGACACCCAGGTTCCTGACTGACTTGGTGAGTTGAAGTGTGCAACCGTAGAAGTTGATGCTGCCAGAGCCTGAGGTGCTGAGGCACTGGCGCGAGTCAATCAGGAGGGCCTCAGTCTTGTTCACATTCAACTGTAGGAAATTTGCACTCATC